TGGCCCTGTCCAACAATAAACCATCTTTCCAAGCAGCCTCCATGTCTCCAGTGTCTTCTTCCCCACTTGGAGCTGAACCCAGAAGGACATTTCATCAGTTGTTAGTTGCAAAGTTGTATCCGACCCATCGCAACCCCATGGATAACGTTCCTCCAGACCTTCCTGTCCTCTGTCATCCTCTGGAGTTCATTTAATCTCAGGGCAACTGCTTCGGTGACTCCATCCAGCCACCTCATTCTCTGTCGTCCCCTTCTTCTTTTGCTCTCAGTCGTTCCCAGTATGAGGCTCTTCTCCAGTGAGTCCTTCTTTCTCATTAGGTGGCCAAAGGATTTGAGTTTCATCTTCAGGATCTGGCCTTCTAAAGAGCAGAAGAACTTTGGAGAACAGATTGACTCCCTCTTCTTTGTGGCAACCTCTGAGATATCGGTACACTGCTATTATGTCTTACCTAGCTTTTTATTAAACTAGATATACCCAGTTCCTGCAACCGTTCTTCATATGTTTTAGCCTCCAGTCCCCTAATCATCACTGTTACTCTTCTCGTACTCTTTCTAGAGTCTCCACATCTTTTTTACATCGTGGCAACCAAAACTGGATACAGTATATTTCAATTTTCGCCTTACCAAGGCATTATAAAGTAGTATTAGCACTTCACATTTCACGTGATCTTGATTCTATCCCTAAATGTTTGTCCACTAGGACTCCAAGATCCCTTTCACAGTTACTACTATGGAGCAAGGTACCACATATACTGAACCTGTGCATCTTGTTTTTCTTGCCTAAATGTAGAACCTTATTTTTGACTTCTCTTTGAATTCCCTCAGCCTACCCGAAGAACATGGGCTTCTTAAAACCCATGGAAATCTTTCTATATCTACAGTATGTGATGGTATCATGAACTTCTTCTTATAATTCTACTCAAGTTATGTATGAATATATATGCTGCCCTATCATTTGGTCTCTGATTAGTTAATCTTTCTTAGACGTGTCTTATATACCAGGCATCTTTACTAAAAGAAATATTGTGTTAATCTACAAGGCTTCCCTACTGCTTTCTAGTATAATAGCCTTACAGAGATCAGGACAGTCGTTTGTCCAGCCAATATGGAGAAACATATGATATCTCTGCGCGTTCGGTACATTAAGAGTATAAATGCATCCCGGAACAGAGATTTCCTGAAGAGGGGCTTCAAGGAAGCTTTATATTCATTAAGTGGGAAGTTGAGTGCACTGAATGAAGGCTTTGTGTTTTGGGTATAATTCCAGCTTTCAAAATCCAGATTCTTTATAAAGAACGTGGGAGAGTTCCAAATATGACTTCACTTGCTTGCATCCTTTACATTTTATTTGTTAAAAGGCTTCTCATTAATGCAGATTCCCCCAACTTAATGTCCCTCATTAATAAACATGATTTCACAGTAATCATGCCCTAGTTTTCAAATTTAGAGCATTATGTAATACAGTTGTGACATTGTTTTTTTTTCCTTCGTTTACTAGAGGTTGATGGCGTTTTCCCTGGCTGTAGGAGATCTAAATTCACTGCATTGTAACTAGTGAATGTGTTGTGAGATAACAAACATGATGAATGCATAAATCCTTCCAGCTTTAAATATTGCTGGTAAACGTGTATAAAACAAAGACATGTCATTGCTGTGTATACAGTTGCAGAGGCTTAATATTGCAGATAAACGCAGCAAGTGTTTAACCCAGCCACAAACGGAGCCATTCATAAAATGCATTATTTATGTGCATTAATAAGTTACATCTACGGCTGAGTTATATCTGAGTAGTCAGTCTCTTAATATCCCCTTAAGGCATTTGAAATCCATTGGGTAAAATGTTAGAATTGGGGTAGAGCTATAACACATTTACAGTAGACTCACATATCATGCCATAAGGTTATGTTTCATTTTGAAACAATGTGCGGTATGGAACCAGTTAATGTAGTAATGATTTACGAGTTACTAGGAGATATAAACTTGCCAAAGAAGGATGAAACAAACCAGGTAAAGTACAATATGGGGGGGGGGGGGACCTAGGCTAATGCAATGGCTTTTGGAAAAAAGTCTCCAATGACAGCAATAGCAATAGCATTTAGACTTATATGCCGCTTCACAGTGCTTTACAGGCCACTCTAAGCAGTTTTATAGAGTCAGCATATAACTCCCAACAATTTTGGTCCTCATTTTACCCACCTCGGAAGGATGGAAGGCTGAGTCAACCTTGAGCCGGTGAGATTTGAACCGCTGCACTGCAGATAACAGTCAGCTGAAGTGGCCTGCAGTACTGCACCTTAACCACTGCGCCACCTCGGCTCATAATAGAGTTGCATAATAGACCCCCAAAAGGCTATTTGTGACTTGGATTTGAATTCCCAATAACTGGGAATCCCTACGCTCACATGACTGCATTTGAGATGCTTGGGAACCAGAATGTCAGCGTTCTGAATAACACATCGGCCAAAAGCAGAATTCCAGGGCAGGCAGATTCCTCAAAGAACATGTTTATCTGATACATCATATTGGCAGAGCCAGTGACAACTCTAAAAGTTCGTTCAGGTTTTTGCCTAATTAATAAGAAAAAAATGGTTCCCTCCTCAGATGTCACTGGTCACATTGTCCAATGTAAGTAACTAGTAAGCTGCTTGGTCACTCCGCTCTTTCCCCAACTTCCACCTGTTAGGATGACCTTGGTTCCCACAAGAAAACTTTTTTGTTTTGACTGTTCCCCCTCCCTTCCCCCTTTCAGAGTTCATGGCAACGATGAGGCTGCAAAAGATGGCTTCAGCCAGGTTCGCTTCAGAGTTGACACAGAATTTATGGTTGTTTTGCCTGAAAATAGCACTTCTCCTTTCTGGCAAAACCTGTCCCATAGCAAATATTCTGTTTGTTTAAAAACAGCAATATCTGCTTAATAATCATAGGCATTTGTTTAATTGTTGTTCCAGAAATTTTAGGGGAGGGGACCTTTTGCCTTTTCCTTCATCATGACTAGTGCAAAAACAGTTGTCAAAATTGGGTAGTTATGTGATGGCGTTATGGCCCTCACAACTTACACAACTTAATTGTGGACTCAACTGAGGTGGTTAAGTTAAAAACTACCTGTAAAAAGCTTTAAGGGAGCCCTTTAAAATAATTATAGGAATGTATTATATGTTTGTTAAACATAACAAGTAAGTTTATTGGTATTCTATCTGTAGT